TGTCGTGGTCATTAACCTTCTTCATAGCCTCATGGTAGCAGGCTCGGGCCATGTGCGGGTCCGTGCGGGCCACCCCCACCCCAGTCTCTGTGGGAAATTTGATGCAGGAATGCCACACGGAACAGATGGCTTCAAGGTCCTCTAGGCTCGGCCTCCCCAGGATAGCGTTGTGGGCACACTTCAGGCGGACGACGACGAACGTCATGTGGATTGCCGCCTTGTGCCATCCGTCCCCAATCTCCACCGGCAGGGTGATCGTCCCTTCGGCGTCTATGCAGTCCTCGGTGAATCCATCCAATGGAGTTCGTAGAGGGGTGAGCTCAGACCTACTGAGGTGCATTCTCTCGAAAACGTCCCAGTACAGGACGTTCACGCTGCTGCCCGTATCCACTAGCATTCGCCGAACGATGGCGTTTTTGACGTCCATGCTGATAACCAGCTCATCCATGTGTGGCAATGGGGATTTGGGCAGGTCTTCTGGGCCAAAACAGATAGGCTCGGACCTCTGCTTCTTGGCGGGGGTTGCAGATATGGCTCCCACATAAAGGGCCCTCTCAAATTTCTTCCGCTCTGTTGGGGCATCCCCAGTTTCCGCACCCGAGAAGATTACTTTGATCTCCAACTTCTTCTTATGGTCGTCCGCCCTGAGGGACCCCTCAGGCTGTTTGTAGGCATGGCGGTAGTTGACATCTCTGATCTCTGCCTCCCGTCGGTCGTCCCGACGCCAGGTATGCGGCTTCTTGTATGGCTGCATCTGGGTTCTGGGAGCCCGACCTCTCAAACAAATCCTATGCCTAGAATCCATTTACTTGGGTAGCCTGTAAACCTACCCCTATCACACCTTAGAGCTCGTACAATTCGACCTTAAGTATCTCTTAAGACTACTTAAGGCATCACTATTCACAATCCAATCTCTTAGGATTAATTTCATCATTATTCATATTAATCTCCCGACTAGTATTTCAATACTAGTCGGATAATCTTAGAACAACAAAGTTCTTAGTTCATAATCAATATTTCATTTCAATTGATTTTCCAATCTAAATATAATTAAATCTCAAAATCAAAAATATCACTTTTATCCATTCATGAATTCTTTACATGAAGTAAAAGTATATTTTATCACAACATTTCATAGTTAATTCCATTATCATGTCATCATTTTCATAACACATAATCATACACAATTTCGTCTAAATTTGTATATCGTGTTTCATTTATTCATAGGCAATAGTATTTTCATTTAGACATTATTAATCATTAATAATCCATGAAAATCACATTTAAAACTACCTTAAGTAATCTTATGAAATTAACTCACTATATATAAGCAATATAGTCAGTCATCCTCACCTTAAGATGTGCTACGATAGTTGTCTTTACTAATCCCCTCGATCAATCCCCGTTCTAGGCCGATTGAAAGTGAAAATCCTGGACAACAACCAAAAGCTGGGCGGCTTTCACAAAAGCCGTGCGGCTTTCGTGTTCTGCAGATTCGAGCAGCTCTTTCTTGGTGGCGGTATCCGACGATTTCGACTCCTATCGATTCACCAACTCTTCTAAGTTAAATACCACCACTTTATATCAATATTCTACACTTTTAAACGTGTAGAACTTCACATTTAACCCACCACATGATTTCTTACAAATCATACACCAAGAAACTAGTTAAAAGAATAGTGGTGGAGTTCTTACCTTGAACTCAAATTATTTCTTGTTGGGTTATCTTCCTCTTGGTTCCTTGAAGCTTGGACTTTGTGAGAGTTCTTTCCTTGAGATCCTCTCTCCCTTGACTTGTGCGTATGGTTCAAAGTGAAGGGAGAGGTATCTATCTTCAATCAAGGACCAAAACACATGCTATGAGAGGACATGGGGTGTATGGGTTGTCTCTACCCATCCCTCACTCTATAGCTCGACCCCATCACTTTTGTGTCTCATTCCATTATTTGGAGACCATAAGTTGTGTAGGAAAAATCCCCAAGTGTGTGTAGGAAGTCCTCCCCAATTATTCCTGCTATTTCTGGCAGGTTGGGTCAAATTAGCACTTGGGTTGTCCAAATATTTTCCTCAACCTCGGTTGGCATTTTATTTGGGCTTCTATGATTATTATGATGACCCAACTAATTATTTGGCAGCCCATTCTCAATATCATGGACCCGATAAATAGTTTAATCATGCATTAATTAAATATACCAATATGTTACACGATTTCTATTCGCTGGGAACTTCCAATACATTTTAAATTCTAAATTCAAGTACATCTGGGTGCGGTGTCACACCTGAGCTCGTGGGGAATCATGTCAGTAAGCACCCCGAGGTCCCCGCGGCTCCACAGTTGCTGGACTGGACGCCCGTCGCCTGCTGGCGGGCCCTTCTGCTGCGTGACAGCCGTTCAGAGAGATCATGGGAGTTTCCTTCGTTATTTCCTGCCAACCTACTTGTTTTGAGCTTTTCAAAGTGGTTCTTAGCTGAGAGCTTGTTTTTGGAAAAACTTTTTGATCAGTTTCCCACAGACGGTGCCAGTGTTGAGGTTTATTCTCTTCAACCCGTAGGCCCAACCCACAACCTAAGGGCTTCGAGTTGGTAATTTAGGAGAGTAAGATCAAACAAGTAAGATGAGGCCCAATAAGAAGTCTTATTACACTGAAGGGGTTAAAGGCGTGAGGCCGTTCGTCCCCAGCTATGCTATGAGCTGCTATGAATGCTATAATACTAAAGTGCTAAGTCCTGATCCATCACAATGAAATAAATGATACTATTTATACCGCCAATGGGTAGTTAGATGCATTGAATCCAGGTGTGGATGACGTGATCCCAAACACTAAATCCCCTGCATTAAATGTGTGACCCCCAGGATCTTGGCTTCACGCCAAGGGGTGGGCACGTTCGTCCCCATGGACTTGCCTAGCTTGATCCCGACCACCAAATCTTCTGCATTAAATGTGCAACCACCAAATATTATGTATTAAATGCATAATCCCGCCAGGATCTTGGCTGTCCGCTAAGGGGTGGGGATGTTCATCCCCATGAGCTTGCCTTCTGTTTCCTGCGAGACGTGCATCTCATTTTGTTTCTGGGCCAAGGTACCTGCCACGCTAGGATACGTACGTCCCCTGGATGGGGAAGGGTATACCGTTGTCTTGGGCCTTCTGGGGACGTTCGTCCCCATGGGCTTGCCTCCTGTTTCCTGCTGGGCCAAGTCCTGCGAGACGTGCGTCTCGTTTTGCTCCTGGGCCAAGGTACCTGCCCACACTAGGATACGTACGTCCCCTGGATGGGGAAGGGTATACCGTTGTCTTGGGCCTTCTGGGGACGTTCGTCCCCATGTGCCTGCCTCCTGTTTCCTGCTGGGCCAAGTCCTGCTAGACGTGCGTCTCGTTCTGCTCCTGGGTCAAGGTACCTGCCCACGCTAGGATACGTACGTCCCCTGCATGGGAAAGGGTATCCCAGTTTCTCGGGCCTTCTGGGGACGTTCGTAAGGTAGGCCTTTAAAGGTTTATGGGCAAAGTCACATTGGGTCATTAACCCAACAGAGTCTTTGCAACCTCGTCACAAGTCTAATGGTGAATTCTACCTCAAAACGAGGTTTTCAAATGAAGTTGTTCCAAAACTTGTTCTTGTCAAAAAAAGCTGCAGACTTCACTCAATCTAACACGCTTGCTTTGATACCAATTGTGGGTTACGATTTATGCAACAATTAACAATAATAAAACATAGCGAAGAGTATATGAGAGGAATTGAATGGCTGGAGTATTGAATTTGATAATGATACAAGAAGTGGCAGGATTATTGAATTTGATAATGATACAGGAAGTTTACAGATCGGTGGAATTCAATACACAACTGTGAAGGACAACTCTCACTATCTTGAGTGTTTGGATGCTATTAGCTTGCTTCAATGATTAGGCTTTACGAAAGTCAAACCTTCATATGAAGGTTGGGCTTCCGTATTACAAAGGCTTCCGGGCCCCAATACAAAGCTAGCCTGGTTGAAAAATTATTCTATTTAATACACAAATACAAAAATAACTCATGTAATTGAACACAATAAAATAATCCCCAGGAATCTTTTTAAGTTTTTTAAGCCAAAAGCATAAAAGCATTTTTTAAGTGTTTGCAATCATTCCCTTAGTCCACCATTTTTGAGTCAAAAGGCGGGATTGTTATTATTCACCCAATTGTCTATATTAACAAAAGGCGTACACTACATATCGGCTCCTACCCACATTACGATTTTGTTGGTATGTGTTTGTTTAGGGATTGCCAGGTTTCATGGTTAAAATGTCAAAAACAGAGGATTAGCACTTGTATGCATTGTCTGCCAGACTGCCACCGTTACTTATAGAGAGTTTCTCATGTGTTTGCCCTCAATTTATCAATCGGTCAATCCATTATATCGAGGGTGTGAGAGAGAAAGGGTAGTTTGTGTATAAATGTGTTAGCACTCTATTATTTTTATTTTATAAATTTTATAAATGTTTAAAAGAGAGGGTTAGCACTTAGCACTTGTATGTATTGTTGTCTATCACCGTTACTTACTGATTGAGAGTTTCCCATGTGTTAGCCCTCTATTTTTCAATCAATCCATTATCTTGAGGGTGTGAGAGAGGAGTTAGTTTGTGTATTCCACATTTTTTACCCATGGCTTTGGACAATTCTCTTCTCGCAATTGTTTGTGCAAATCTCACTCATGACTTTGTGTAATATATATCTTAGCGAGTGTTGGAGGTGTTCTAAGAGTAGTTCCTCCCTTTAGACTAGGTGGTGCTAAGAATGGAGATCAAACCCAGAACATTCAGGTGACCTGTGCCAAATTTCAATGATGAAATCGATATCCCCAACAATAGGTTCACTATGCATATTGATGTTCTAAGGCTCATGTTAAACTACTCGAGAAAAAGCGATAACATGACATAAAACATCACTACGTGAGGAGAACCAAGGGGGTCAGGTGTTTGAGCAACCCCGGTGGTCGGTGGTAGGGGAAGGAGACTAGGAGAGGCAACCCGCAACACTTGACAATAATTTCGTTTTCTGTTTTGAGCATAAAAAATCTTTGTTACTCGATCAGATGAAAACTAATTAACACATACAAGTTCAGCCCCAAACTGAACCGCACGCATCAAGGCATGACCAAAACGCTCAATCACAAGCAAGCAGGGGGACATAATAATTTACAACATGAATGACTAGTTCACTACTAACACTGTATTTGTGAAACACACACGGGCAAAAACATTGCAAAAGAAAACAAATAAATTCCTAAGTACTAAACTAGTGAACACACATTTACTTTTGGAGCACTCACTTGGCTGTGTGGCAACTGATAACAGCAGATTCTAATGTGCCATTGATGCTTGCAGAGACTTCAGGTAATCTGTGCGCATTAACTGTAGGCCCTGAAGCAACGGAACTTGCTCTAGATTCCTCTCCGTCACTTGTGCTTAATCCTGAACTCTCTACTTTGCTGTCAGAAAATGAAAAAGAAGAATTGCAAATCATCAAGGGAGGGCCACCATTGGGGCTAATGATATCTCTGCACAAGACCCCTTCTAGTTGTTTACGGAAACCATTCTTCGCGGTCTCATTCTCATCCAGCCGCCTCAAGAAGCAATCTTCTATTTCGCTCAACGACTCAACTTCGTCTCTGTCTTCACTGATATAGCCATAGTGGGATTGTTCATCATCTGATGCTGGCGGCACTGATGATTCACAGCCAGTATCCAACTCTTCATGAGTGTAACTAGAATTCCCATAAGATGAATGAGACGACATGGGCGAGTACCCTCCAGCTGACTGCACACGCTCCCGTAATGTTTTTGTTATGAGAGTCTTCAGCAAATTCATCACTTGGACGGCATGCATTAAAGCGGTCAGTGGATCTGTCATCTGGCCGACCACAGTAAAAAGCGAAATGGTATGTGAACCGCACACGGCAGAAAAGTTTACATAATTTAGGGAAGTTATGTACTACGGATACGGTAAAACTCAACTTTGTGATTTTCAATTTGGTAGACAAAAATGTTTACTACTCATATGGTAAGAGACGTGATGTGGATAAAAATCATAGCATGACCAAAAGTTTGTTTATGTGTCATGACCAAAAGTATCATTCCATTTTTAGATTGTTAGTTTACTTAAATTCGTCGTTGTAAAGTAGTAAGAGACTAAGATGAGAAACCACTGCAAGCACGTACAATAACATAATGTCAAAAAATGAAATTATAAGTCTTTTGTATCAGCATGCAATAATGCATTTAACCACCTCACTGTCTCACATTGCCACATTTATTAAAATTAAAGATATACTTCATATAATTGAATGCCAAGTTTTGTGTACTACCATGTAAATTAGTGGTACCAATGTACCATGTAGAATAAATAATGATGTCTGACGGAATAACAAACTTTGGCTCACACTAATATTATTTTCTATATCACAGGGTTACCATATAAATTACACCTTTCTTTAGTCTGCCGAATTAAAGATCTCGAGGATTACCATGTGAATTTTTCCCTTGCAATTTAGAAAAGGATTATTTCATTTTACAAAGGCATACCTGAGTCATATTTGGAGCAAAGACCATCGCAATATTCCGGGAGTTCATTTTGTTTAATTCTTCTTGCTCAACCACGTCAGCCATTAGATCGATTGCCCAATTGAGCAATGCAATATCAGTTGGCTTCAATTGTTTCACAAGCTCAACAAACTGCTCCTCTGTGTTACATTGCAGAACCTGCTCTTGTGATAATCCGTCTAGCACGCCAGCTGGGAGCTCACGAAACCAGGCTTTGATAAGACCAGCTAAACAATGCACATCAATGTCAAGAGGAACAATGCCTCTATTTAGTTGGTCCCTTACATGTTCCTCCTGGCCATTTTCTGGGTTTATTCTGAAAATGCCTTCCGCCTATAGTATTCACATCCAGGAAGTTTAAGTGAGAAAAATTTCACATTCTAACTTTATGTCTCTGTTTGGAACCCAAAAAAGTTGACGAATGAAAACAAGGCAGAAATTTGGACTTCAAAAGTTAATCCATATCAGATATAAAGATTGAACTGTTACTCTATTCAAAAGATGGAACACAAAGTCCTAACAGAGAATGAAAATTTGGGAGAAGATTAAAAATGGTTCAAACTCACAATTTTAGATATTTTGTTCAACTTCAATATATTTATATATTTCTATTATATAAATTCTGAATATATTTAAAGAAACATTTCTTCGGATTTTCCCTGGGAAAAAAGAACAAGCTGACAAAAAACAATATCAAGACCTTTGTCCCACATTGCAACCACTTCCTGGTTCCAGACAAATCCGGGAGTTGCAATTTTAAGGAAATACTTTCATTGCCAAAGAAATGATACAAACACTTTGCATACCTTCAGACCACCTTGTGTATACAAGCGCTCTTGCATCAATAAGAGAATAGTTGGGACACTATTGCCCCTGTTATCATAGGAGCACTGCATCGATTCTGCTGAGACACCAAAGACACTGATGCTGCAAATATTAAACAGAAGATTGGCACCATCAACATAGATGCTGATGAGGTTGGATTAACACCATCGACGAATATTAATCTTTTCAAGTACGGATAAGTGCAAAACGCTCTTTGAACATGCAAACTAAGCATGAAGATGACCAGAAGTTCAACTTCTTGCCTAACTGTCTATTGAGTTTGCACTGTTGCAGCTCATATTAGCTATTTGAAGACTTAATTACTTTATAATAATTACAAAATATAAGAAAACTAGCGTCTTGCCCAACCATTGCTCTTGTTACAATTATGACTCATTCAATTTATTATCTATTATATTAATATTGATATTTTGAATAGAAATTACAATTCATCCATTTCTAATTTAGAAATACAATTCACACAATGGTCACTTTAATTAGATTACAGTATTACACAAGAGACCAAGTGCCCAATCTGATGTTATTGGTATTATAATAATCACCATGCTATCAATATTGTAATAACTGTATCTTTATAATTTTTGAGAAATTGATAAATGTAATTCTGTTAATGATATCTTGGACTATTGATCCAGTATTGAAAATTATGCTCAATAGTGCATTTTACTAGCAGAAATACATGAGCATTTAAAATTAAGAAAACTCCCATAGATGCTATGCGTATGTATTATTTTAGCATACATGTCTTGAATGAACCATTAGAGGCAATCCATTAGCAGATTATGGATCCTTCTTGTCCCGTGGCAGGAATCATCAGGAAGGATTGATATGAATATTTTCCTACATATATACACACACTAATACACATGCATAAATATATAGGGTCTTTTTATCGAGTACAACTTTGGACATTATAGCCACATAGATAGTATAATACTTTAATTCATCACTTATAGCTAATATATTATTTTATACGTAGTATACCTTAAAGAGGTCAAATAATGTGTCCTATATTTTAACAGTATATGTAAAAAGAGGAGAGATGTTATAGGATGGTTGACTATTACAGGAAAAAAGATGGACTGTTTGCTTTTCCCACACAAAAAATGGTTAGTTGTAAATGGGACAATCATATGGCTTATCCTGTCCAAAGATGCTCATGAAGTCATGATAGAAAAAAGAAAATATAAATGTGGGTGCTCGTTTGTGTGTGCACATATATGATTTCTGAATATTTAATTTAATAGCCAGTATGGTCTAAATAACCTAATTGACATGAAAATAAAAAACAGTATTGATGCAAAAGAAAAGATCACAACACCTCGTGTGTCTAACGACTCCCAATTCAATAACAAATAAGGATGTTTAGATCTTGGAAACAAATTAGATTCATTACACATTTTGTCCTTGAAATCTTCACTTCAATTTTTAAAGTGTTTACAAAAGTGGCTTCTCTTTCTCTAATATCACCCATTTGGTGTTGCATAACCAACCATATATGTTTCACTGTTTGTAACAGTTGGAAGATTTTGACCTGGTGACCACCCATGACCAACGTCCAAATTAATAATTACGTAGTATTAATATTCTGAAGTTTTCCTTCCATTATTTTTTACTCTATAATAATGACTATGCTCATTTACCATTTCTTCAAGACCGCCCTTACTCATTACTCAAAGTCTACATGAATGAGGTTCATGGACTGTAGAATTTTCCCAATTAAAGGTTGAATAATCTTTTCTCCGATGCACTCTAAAGCTTAAATTCTTCTCAGAAAAAATATAAAGTCCCTCAACATTCCAACCTTTACCTAACTTTGTGCGCTTTGCATTAACAACTAATGAGGCGGAAAGGAACACTTTTGAAGGAAACAGAAAATGACCCAGGGCAATACATTAAATAAAAGCAACTCAAAAGTCCTAAGAATGAGTATATGGTCTAAGTCGACTCAGAGAAAAATAAATAAACCTGAACAAATGAGAATTTACAACATTTATTAGGGATGACTCATTCATATTCAGGAGAATCAAGACAGAGTGGGATAACTCCAAGTTCCAACACTCCCCCTCACCCACGGTGTTTTTACTTTTTAGCAGGGTTTCTCGCAGAGTTCCTACTGGTCACTCTCTTTATGTGTTACATCTGACTTGATTAAGCTCGTTTGAACACTAATTCGGGTTGATTAAAAATCCAAATGAGATTTTAAGTTATGAAAAGCAAGAACATACTCTGTATTGATTACAAACCTTGCGCTGGGAACTCTACAGGGGATTTCAACCTCAAACTCAACGGGAAGGCCGAGAAATCCCTGAAAACGGTCGAAAGTGACGTGGGTGATGTGCTGGACGTCCGTGGGCCACCCGATTTCCATCGCATGAATGGTGGACATCACCACCTCCTCCTGCCGGTTCACCCGGCAAGACACCATTGATTTCCTCAGAGCTTCCAAGAGAAAATCCAACAGCGAGAGCTGCTGCTGGTTCTGCTCTCCGGTGCCACACCCTTCTGAGCTCCTCCCACTTACTCCTCCTCTTCTCATCATCACCATCCCCGCCATTCTCCCCCCTCTCTCTCTCTCTCTCTGAAAGCTCGTAATCTCTCAGACTTTTCGGCTTTTACACTCTCGAGAAAATCTGTATCGATCTTCAAGTTGTCTGGGTGCAATTCGATGAAAATGGGCTTTAAACGATGGAATCAAATCCATTTCAAATATTAGCCGTTCCGCTACTCTGTGTAGTTAGACCTTCCACTTGTAAATAATCTCGAATATGCCACTGTACTTTGACTTCACTGTACTTTTTTCCTTCACTTTTCTAACGGGTAGCCGGCAGAGTATATATTAAAAGAATATCACTGACATTTTTATAATACGGAGTAATTATTTGCAGGCTAACAATTTTAAGTGAAATTAATCATTTTTATATTTTCAAAATTGTGTACATTCTCCATTTTTCTATATTTTTTTTTCGAAATTGGCTAGTTTTGATGGTTACGGTTTTTGAAAATGAAGATCATCAAAAAGTGTAAACATCATTTATTTAAACAATAACATAATAATCAAGCAATAAACTCTTTCTAAATTATTAGACATAGAATTAATTCTTTCTACTAAATATACATGCATAAAGGATACGAGTACAAAAGAAATTGTATTTTTTTTAAATTTGGGTGTTCAAATTTTTTGTAGTTAATTTTTTTGAGAGAAATAAAATTAATTACTATTAATCAAATCATTGTCAATTACAGAAGAAATAAATAACGGAGGATTAAAAAACCAAGATTGAGAATCAGACAAAGAACAAGCCGTCTTAGCAATAACATGAGCCGCCTTGTTTGCTTAACATGAGCCGCCTTGTTCGCTGACCTTCTAACATGAGGAAAAGGGATGCTAAAAGAATTCTTTGCAAACTCTCTGATATCTTCTGACACCAAATTGTAGGAGAATAACTCGAGCCCTTCAATATCTCTGAGATAGAACGAGACGCATCAACCTCGACTTCAATATCACACCACTCTGAATCCTGTAGTAGCCAGCTTAAAGCTTCTCTAATTCCGATTAACTCAGCATCCAAAGCAGAATGGTGCCCCTGCCATTTGTGTTCAACCCCCGCCACAAAATTGCCTTCCTCGTCTCTCAAACACCAGCCCAGGCCGCAATGGTCAAACCGGACAACAACATCGACATTCAGTTTCATCCTCCCTGGTGTTGGACGTCGCCAGATAGTAGCCACCTGCCCCCCGCTGAGTTACCAGCCTTGCGGTCAGTTTGCGCTTGGGCCCAGCTCGCCACATACGCCTCAGTCTTGACCATAAATTGACGCGTCGAAGAAGATGAATTCTGCCAGACCCTGTGGTTTCTCTCATCCCATATAGCCCAGCATCCCCAAATCATCTTCACCAAGTCACCATTTCTTCTAGTTTGAAATTCTTTCTGAATCTGCCCCAAGAAATTGTTTGCACTGTGAGCAGACCAACTCCAAAACACAGCCTGCCATGCTTCCTTGGCTACTGCACATGTCATAAAAATATGGGATAGGGACTCCCTAGGACCATCACACAATAGAACACTCTATTTATAGGCTAGTTTGGAGACAAGAGGAAGTTGTATTCAAGCTTCCATAGTTATCTCCATATCTTCTCTCATGTTCCAAGAAGGTGTGAGATACCTCTTGTCCTGGACGTCGCCAGATAGTAGCCACCTGCCCCCCGCTGAGTTACCAGCCTTGCGGTCAGTTTGCGCTTGGGCCCAGCTCGCCACATACGCCTCAGTCTTGACCAAAACACAGCCTGCCATGCTTCCTTGGCTACTGCACCTGCCATGCTTCCTTGGCTACTATCTGGCGACGTCTAGGACAAGAGGTATCTCACACCTTCTTGGAACATGAGAGAAGATATGGAGATAACTATGGAAGCTTGAATACAACTTCCTCTTGTCTCCAAACTAGCCTATAAATAGAGTGTTCTATTGTTGTTCATATCATCAGTTTTAGAAAGTGAGAAAAGTGTGTGAAGAGTGAAATACACTTAGAGTAGAAGTGTATTGGTGAGGATTGGTTTTTTGTAATAGTTGAGTGTGAGAGTTTGCTCCTCCTATTGTAATTCTGTTCTTGATATTGAATAGAAGAATTTTTCAATCTCAACAAGTGGTATCAGAGCGAGGTTGAGTTTCCATACACTCTTTTCTCATTTTCAGATAAATTTCTACAGGTTAGAAAATCGTGATTTTGGAAGTTGTTCGGAATCACGATCTGATCATACCGTTAGATTCGTCTCGTCGAGACGAGAAATCTGGTATTTTTGGGGAATTTTTTGGCAACCGGAAGAGTCCGTATGCGCCGTCCAAACGTCGTCGGAAAACTGCCTGCATCATCACTGCGTCATCACACAGTCCAGAGGAAGAAGACGATCCACGTCAGCTGCCACATCATCGCCACGTTGGACCACATCAGCGACACGTGGTGCCGAGTCAGTCGCCACATCGTCCACCCGAGCCGTCAGCTGTGAGCCACGTCAGACGCCACATGGCTACACGTCATCGCCACGTCAGCGAGGGAGCAGAGCCACGTCATTCGCCTGCTGGGATGCAGGCTGAACTGCTGCCTGAACCGGACCGGACCGGTTTGTAGTTGTGGAGGCCGGTTCACCGATTTTCAGACCGGTTTTGGACGAGGTCAGACCGGTTCCTACCATTTTCGGCCATTCCGGATCCAATGGTGAGCTCCGTTTGTCCAAATGCGACTTTGAAAATAAGGTACGAGATATATTGAGTGTTTTATTATGGATAAATCATCATCGGACACCATGATTGCACTCACTTCCACAAATTACAATATATGGAAGCCTCGGATGGAGGATTTGCTAAATTTGAGGGATTTAGCCGATCCTCTCGATAATAATGGCGTGAAACCGGATAAAAAGACGAATGAATAATGGACAAAACTGAAAAGACGGATAAAAAGACGGATAAGAACCGAAAAACTGTCGCACAAATTCGACAGTGGATAGATCATAGTGTGTGCCACCATGTTGTGCAAGAACAAAGTGCTTACACACTATGGGAGAGGCTTGGTAGCATGTATCACGCAAAAACCGCTCGAAATAAGACGTTACTAATGAGGCGATTAGTAAACCACAAATTGCGAGGTGGTATTTCGGTTTCAGAACACACCAGTCAATTTCAGGATCTTTTGAATCAGTTGAGCACCACCGGAAGGATTCTCAAAGATGAAGAGCAGGCGATATTACTGTTGAGATCTCTACCTGGCAGTTGGGAGACTCTTGTTGTCACTCTCAGCAATTCTACTCCCAATGGCAAGGTGACTATGCAGATGGTCACATATGCCCTTATGAATGAAGAAGCCCGAAGGAAGGAAGCTGGGACTGAACAATCATATGCCCTCATATCAGAAACTAACAGACGAGGGGGAGGCAGAAATGGAGGAAGAAGTCGGGGTCGAGGTAGAGGCCAAGGTCAAAATAGAGGAAACTCTCAAGTTCGCTGCAGATCACAAGAGAGAGGTATGTCCTTTGAAAACAATACAAGGATATTGCAATTACTGTAGTAATTATGGGCATAGAAAAAGAGATTGTAGAAAGTATCTACGAGAACAGCCACAGACGAGTCAATATACTAGCCAAGAAGATGGTGCGACCATGGTTAGTTTGTCATCAGATGTGTTACTTGTTACACATGGTGAACAAGAATGTTTACACGTAGGTACTCATGATGTTGAGTGGGTGGTTGATACAGCTGCATCATTTCATGCCACTCCACACCAGAACTTATTCACATCTTATAAGTCCGGAGATTTTGGAGTTGTGAATATGGGAAACACCAGTTTCTCAAAGATTGTTGGCATTGGTGATGTGCACATAACAACCAATGTCGGATGCGCCTTTGTGTTGAAAGATGTTCGACACGTTCCGGATCTTAGATTGAATCTTATCTCCGGTACAACTCTGGATCAGCAAGGATATCTTAACCGCTTCAATGAAGGTACGTGGAAGCTATCTAAAGGTTCCTTGATTGTTGCAAAAGGCCATATTTGTGGTACTCTTTATAAAACCCATGCAAAGCTATGTCATCCAAGTCTCAATGTTGTTGAAGAAGAGACATCACCAAACTTGTGGCACCGGAGGTTAGGCCACTTGAGTGTGAAGAGATTAACAACTCTTGCAAAGAAGGAAGCCATTTCCTTGGGCAGAGGTGTTGCCCTGGATCCATGCGAGCACTGTCTATTTCGGAAACAACATAGAGTTTCCTTCAGTTCTACCAGAAAGAACCATTCACAGTTACTCAGTCTTGTCCACTCAGATGTATGTGGACCCATTGAAGAGGAGTCACTTGGAGGAAGCAGATATTTCGTGACATTCATTGATGATGCATCACGAAAGGTATGGGCTTACTGTCTAAAGAGTAAGGATCAAGTGTTTGATCGTTTCAAATCATTTCATGCCATGGTAGAAAGAGAAACAGGGAAGAAGCTGAAGTGTCTACGTTCAGACAATGGAGGAGAGTACACTTCCAGGGAATTCTCAGCACATTACGCCGCATATGGAATCAGACATGAGAAGACGGTTCCACGAACTCCACAACACAATGGTGTAGCCGAAAGAATGAACAGAACCATTGTGGAGAAAGTTCATTGCATGTTGAGTACGGCTAAACTACCGAAGCCATTCTGTGGTGAAGCTGTGCTAACAGCTTGTTATCTTATAAACAGGTCACCTTCTGTTCCTTTAAACTTTGAAGTGCCACACAAGAAATGGTCAGCAAGAGATGTTTCTTACTCTCACTTGAAAGTGTTCGGGTGCAAGACATTTGCACATGTGTCCAAGGAGTTGAGACAGAAGCTTGATCTCAAATCAAACCCATGCATTTTCATCGGCTATGGAGATGAAGAATTCGGATACCGGTTGTGGGATCCCGAAGTGAAGAAAGTTATACGAAGCAGAGATGTTGTATTTCATGAAAACGAGTTTCATGAGTGTGCTCCAATAATCCGCAAACAACATACTCCAGAAGACGAAGTCCTTGTATCATCAAACATTCCTCTCAGCGACGAGGAGATGTATGATACTACTTAACAAGAGAGTGATGGTTCAGTAGGTAATGATGATGATCACAGTGATGATATTCCTCAGCAGGGGGAGCCTTCATCTCAAGATG